ATATATATGAAAAATTGATGTGGGTACTCAAATGAAAAGTCTAGATGAGTGTAACATCGGGATGAGCTTATATCTTTAAAAATGTCAATAGTTCACAAGATACAAGGTCGTTTCTTAATTATATGTTAAATTGGACTGAACTTTCTTAAATATAAATGTTTTTGAAGATATAAGCTCCTCCTGGTGTTACACTCATCAAGAGCTTTCATTTCAATACCTACATGCATTTTGATATATTTTTCATATATACATATATATAAATATATGAAATATATGAAAAATTGATGTGGGTACTCAAATGGAAGGTCTCGATGAGTGTAATGTCGGGATGAGCTTATATCTTTAAAAATGTCAATAGTTCACAAGATATAAGGTCGTTTCTTAATTATGTCAAATTGCACTGTATGTTTTTAAATATTGATGTTTTCAAAGATATAAGCTTATCCTGATGTTACACTCATCAAGAGCTTTCATTTGAGTACCCACATGCATTTTTATATATTTTTCATACATACATATATATAATATATATAAATATATGAAAAATTGATGTGGGTACTCAAATGGAAGGTCTCGATGAGTGTAATGTCGGGGTGAGCTTATATCTTTAAAAATGTCAATATTTCATAAGATACAAGGTAATTTCTTAATTATGTATCTAGAGATAGAGCATTTTTAAATGCAGTCTAAATACTTATCATAATAAATTAACTATCAGTGAGAATGATATGAAACCTTGAAAAGGCAGAAATTCAAATCAAGACCTACAACTATCCTCGACACAAAATTTTTCTTATTCTCTTAATAATATAAATTACTGTAAAGATATTTTTAGTCTCACGTTCAACGACTAAGTATGAAGGTATTGCTTTTTTTTTTATGTTTTTCTGCCGTCTGTAACAATATCTATTTTAATCATCAGGATTGCGTTACTCTTTGTCTGATAGCTTCTTTCATCATAGCTTTTAATTATTTCTTTTTCGTTTGTTTAATATTCTTTGACAAAATACAAGCGGGTTGAAACATCAGAGCCGACATAGTACTCTCAGGTCAATGAAACTTAAACGACGCAAATCCTAGCATTTGTTTCAAGAACTCATTGAGCTCATCTCAACAACTCAACCGGTAGTTAACTTGTATCTTTGGTCCAGTCTCCCTTTTATATCGAAAAGCAAATCAAAAAGAGTATAAATAGATACAAGAAACTGTAATAAGATTGAAAACCGGACGAGATCACCAGAGATCTATCTACCTCACGCTTGTCTCTGGAAGTGACTTCTTGGACGCCTTTTGGTGTCCTTATAAGTCTCCATCCAAGATCTGGAGTGGAGTTACAATACCGTAGCTTGGATACAGGGCCGTGCGACATTCTCTTGGTTCCCAGTTGACAAATACTCTTAGCAAATTATATTTATTATATCAATAATTATCGAGTTATATCATGAGAACAAACTCAAGTCTAAGTTTGAAATAAAATATTTTTTATAAAATACTCTTGTAAAATATTCAGTTTCGTATTTATAAAAATTAACTTTAAAATCAATATATTTAATAAGTCTTGAATGAACAGCAGAAAATTATTTACTCAAAAACTCTAAGAAGATACAATTATATTTCTTCTAATTTTTTGTATCATTAAAGAAAAAGTCTGATATACTTTTTAAAAATTATTAAAGTAAAAATTGAATTTAGATATTTAATTTTAGTTGATATTTAATGAACAAACTGCTGCTGAAACAAAGTTATCAAAAAAAAAAAAATGAAATTATCTATATTATTAAGAGAATAAGAAAAATTTTGTGAAATCGGTTTTTTTTTTTTTAGTAAAATTTAGTGTCATTGCAAAGGTCTTGACTTGAATTTGTGTCTTTTTAAGGTTTCATTTTATTCTTACTGATAGTCAATTTATGATGATAAATATTTAGGCTGCATTCAAAAATGCTCCATCACTAGATACATAAATAGGAAATGACCTTGTATTTTGAGAACTATTGACATTTTTAAGGATATAAGCTCATCCCGATGTTACACTCATCGAGACCTTTCATTTGAGTACCCACATCAATTTTTCATATATTATATATGTATGTATATATGAAAAATATATCAAAAATACATGTGGGTACTCAAATGAAAGCTCTCGATGAGCATAACATCAAGATGAGCTTATATCTTTAAAAAGGCCAATAATTAAGAATTGACATTGCTATCTTGTCAAATAATGATGTTTTTAAAGATATAAGCTCACTCTGACATTAATATTTTTAAAAACGTCAATATTTAAGAAAGTACAGTGCAATTTGACATAATTAAGAAATGACCCTGTATCTTGTGAACTATGGACATTTTTAAAGATATAAGCTCATCCCGATGTTACACTCATCCAGACCTTTCATTTGAGTACCCACATCAATTTTTCATATATTTGTATATATATTATATAAATGTATATATGACAAATATATCAAAAATACATGTGGGTACTCAAATGAAAGCTCTTGATGAGTGTAACATCGATATGAGCTTATATCTTCAAAAACTTCAATATTTAAGAAGGTACACTGCAATTTGACAATAGTCATTGTTAGTTTTCAATTAAAGTACTACTTTTGATTGAAGAATTTTATTCCATCAATTGAACAAACTTTAGAATTAATTCGATTGGAAATCCATAGATCTTAATCCAAGAATTTATAACCAAAATAATGCTTTTTAGAAGCAAAAACAACCCCTCCTAAATCAAGTTAGTTTTTCTTCAAGCGTACCGAATAATCTTAATACAATGAATAATCGTTTTAGTTAGTATTAATCATTCCAACTTGAATGAGTCTAAGCTGATTTTAATTAAACAATTATTTCATTCACCTCTCCTTACTGTTCTCAGAGCAGCAAATTTTCTTTGTCTAATTAAAGTAGGTTTCAGGAAATGTAATTTACTTTCTATATAATTAGATTCTGCATTTGAGCACCCGGTAATTTTTTTATGTTTTTTTCCACCACATTTTTGTTACATTCGATCGAACATTCGAATGGAGGAAAAGCGAGGTCACCTTGCGTAGGACGAAATATTTTGTACAGCAATATCAATCAACTACAACTTGTTTGCGTGGGATTATGCTTGAAACTTGTTTTATTTTCACGAAAACCATTATCAGCAATGATAAAGATTGTGATTTAAAATTCAATCAATCTTACCATTAATAATTTTTTTTTATTTATAATTTTTTATTAAAAAAAAAAAAAATATCTATATTAGTGTAATTTTGTTCTTATGCATCTCCAGGTCATACGCCTTTTGCAAGAACGCCGCGACACACAGTATCGACCGACCTCAACCCCTGCCTTGCCATCATAGTACGCCGTCGCTTCCCCAAGTACACTACCCGCGTTTCTAAGTTACGTTCCTTTTACTCTCTCATCAGCTCTGTGATATTAAGCTGACTCTAACAACTATGTAACATTGTATATGTAGACTGTATATTTACTATGATGAGTAAAACAGTAAAATATAGTATGGCTTAATTCACGGTCGCCAATTCTTTTATTTCTTTTGTTCATATGCAAAACTACACTTCATTTTATTTTCTTTAATGATCCCAGCACTTGAGGCACGTTTATATAGATTTTCTCTCTTTCGTTCAAGTAAACAAAGAAAATACTATAATTAACTTGTACTCGACACTCATGCACAAGAGTTTAATTTTTTTATTTTATTTCTTCACAACAAAAAAATATTTCTTTCAATCATAAATAATAATAATACCTATTGTATTATAAATTATAAATAAATAAATTTTAATTATAATCCATTAATCTATTTGATTTTTATTTTAGGTAATTACTCCACAAAAATGCGGAGACGTTTATTTATATGACTTGCCGGTTAATAGAGCAAGTCCAGCACCTTCTTCACGGCGAGATTCTCCACTTAATTCTTCAGATCAGCTTCATAATGCAAGTACGTAATTTTTTTAATTTTTACTTCTAATTTAGAAAAAAATGCACTGTGAATAATTAGTAATCTTTGGTATGGTGCAGATAATTTAGTATAAAATTTTTAAACACCTATGTAAAATTTAAATTAAAAAAGTTTATGTAATAAAAAATATGGTAATTATTTACAAGTCGGGTCAACCCATGCTAGCCCATGTTAAACTTTTTTTTTTGATAAATTGACTTTTGTTAAATTGCACTGTACTTTTTTAACTATTGACATTTTTAAAGATATAAGCTCATCCCGATGTTACACTCATCAAGAGCTGTCATTTGAGTACCCACATGCATTTTCATATATATTTCATATATACATATATATAATATATATAAATATATGAAAAAATTGATGTGGGTACTCAAATGAAAGGTCTTGATGAGTGTAACATCAGGATGAGCTTATATCTCTAAAAATGTCAATAGTTTCCAACATACAAGGTCATTTCTTAATTATGTATCTAGAAATAGAGCATTTTTAAATGCAGCCTAAATACTTATAATAATAAATTTACTATCGATGAGAATTATACGAAACTTTTAAAAGGCACAAATTCAAATTGCAATGACACTAAATTTCACTAAAAAAACCGATTTTATTTGACTGTCCTGGACACAAAATTTTTTTCATTCTCTTAATCACATAGATTATTAAACATAATGTCAAATTTTAATTCAAAAAGTTTATGTAAAAAAAATATTTCTAATTTGAAATTGAAAATTTGAATTTAATGTTAAAAAATCATTTTAATTTAAAGTAAAAATTAAAAATTTTTGTTCAAAATATTTTCCAAAATTCTTTATCTTGTAAATTTTAACACAATAATTATATTTTTAGGCCGTTTATCTTCTGGTCAGCAGAGCTCTATTGACAGTGGAGGTGACGTAAGCGATTGTTACGACGTACCACCACGAGCAACACCAGTAATTCCATCTCCAGCGAGCAGTCCAAGCCCGGCACCATCCTGCTACGATACTCCTCGACCACCAACATCATGTACCCCGAATTCAAATTGTTCTGGTGGGTCTGGTATCACACCCTTGGATTGTTACGACATTCCTCGACCACTTCAACCACTTACACCCAGCAGCTCTGCGTCGAGCCTTACAAATGATGGTTCACTCAGCGGCTCCAATAGATCTAGTATTACTGCGCCTGATTACGATATTCCACGGCCACGTCTTCCATCAAATTCAAAATATAACACGCCTATTCACAAAATATCAACTACGTCTCTATCATCACAGAACTTACATCAGCAACAGCGACAGCAAATTTACGACGTACCTGTCAATCGAGAACTTCCATTAGAGCTGGATTCTGCTTTGGAAGGACTAGAAAAATTACAGAGTGAAGCGTCTGCTGCAATTGCAAGACTACTAGGATTTGTTAGTCCTGGATGGAGAACATCACAACGGCTGGATTCAACGCTAATGGACTTGAGACTTGCAGCTTTGAGGCTTAGAACTTCGCTTCATGATTTAGCCGAATTTGCAGAAGGTACTCTGGGGAATGCTAGCAAAGCACCAGATAAAGGTTTAGCTAACAAGTTTAGACCACTAGTCAAAGCTCTTCGAGATTCTGATAAACTTGTCAAAGAAGCTGCTTGGAAATTGGACGCTATAGAATGGGACGCTGCTAAATTGTCTCGGAATAATGAATCTAAAATTTCAACAAACAATTCATCGCCTTCTTTCATTTCTTCTATTCATCCAGATCCACTTGATCAATTGATTGCTTGCGCACGAGCACTCACAGAGGATGTACGGCAAATTGCAAGTTTTATTCAGGTTTGTTTATTAAATTAACTACAATAGAATGTACTGAGAAATTATCAGATTAGAAAATAATTAGAAGTTATAATCAATAATTTTCATTACAATTTACAATGATTCTATCTTAAAAAAAATATTTTTGTCTGCTAAATAAGAATCAAAGGATTAAAAAATTGTTCGAACTGAAAAAAAAAATTAAATTGGTTCAAAAGAAAAATTCTTGAGCCAAGAAAATAATTTTGAACTGTTTCATTGTCTTGAATGAAGACGAAATATTATTGAATCAAGTAAAATTTACATTTACTTAAACCAAGAAAAATTTTTTAGTTTAAGAATTTTTCTACTCAAATCAAGAAGATGTTCTTCAAAATTATTTATTTAATTCAAGAAAATTTTTTTTTCCGTGCAGTATTATTAGTCCTATTTTTTGTGATATTTTAAAACTAATTACCAACTTTGCAGTCACTATGTGACTACCGTGACTTGTGAACTATAAATAATTAAAATTTTGCTTTATTAAATAATGACTTTTGTTACATTGCACTGTGCTTTCTTAAATATTGACGTTTTTAAAGATATAAGCTCATCTTGATATTACACTCATCAAGAGCTTTCATTTGAGTACCCACATGCATTTTTGATATATTTGTCATATATACATATATATAAATATATGAAAAATTGATGTTGGTACTCAAATGAAAGGTCTCGATGAATGTGATATCAGAATGAGCTTATATCTTTAAAAATGTCAATAATTCACAAGATACAAAGTCATTTCTTAATTAGGTTAAATTGCACTGTACTTTCTTAATTATTGACGTTTTTAAAGATATAAGCTCATCCCGATGTTACACTCATCAAGAGCTTTCATTTGAGTACCCACATGCATTTTGATATATTTTTCATATATACATATATATATATATATATAAAATATATAAATATATGAAAAATTGATGTGGGTACTCAAGTGAAAGGTCTTGATGAGTGTTACACCAGGATGAGCTTATATCTTTGAAAATGTCAATAGTTCACAAGATACAAGGTCATTTCTTAATTATGAATCTAGAGATAGAGTATTTTTGAATGCAGCCTAAATACTTATCATAATAAATTGACTATCGGTGAGACTGATATGAAACCTTGAAAAGGCACAAATTCAATTCAAGACCTTAGCAATGACACTAAATTTCACTTAAAACAAATCGATTTTATATGACTATCCTGGACACAAAATTTTTCTTATTCTCTTAATAATAAAAATATAAACTAAAATAATAATAAATTTTTTGTATTATTTATTTAAACAGGGTAATTCAACGCTTTTATTCAAAAGATCCTCGATTATTTCAACCAGCACCGCTGGCAACAGCACTGAAGACGACGATTATGTTAATCTCGACTCACGTGAAACAGTTGCGAAGCAAAGAGAAGAATTGCGTGCAACTCTGCCCCAAGAATTACGAAGTAGTTATGATCTTCTTGTTTCTGAAGCTGATAATGCAGCTATTCAAATGCCACCTTCCACGCCCACACCCATGGACCCGAATGATAAACAGCTGTTAGCGTTTTACGTCGCACAAGTGATAACGCACGGTGCTCATCTGACTCATGCCATTGACGCCTTTCTTCAAACTGTTGAACATAATCAACCGCCAAAGGTGAGCCAAATGACTCATTGTGTTCATTGACACAACACTTGCTTCATTTTTAAATAAAAATACCGGATTTTTAGTTTAAATATTAACTAATAAAATATTTTTTTTTTTTTTCAAGGTTTTCTTGGCACACGGGAAATTCGTCGTCCTCAGCGCACACAGGCTGGTACATATTGGTGACACCGTACATAGAAATGTTACTCGAAATGATGTAAGAACTAAAATACTTGAATGTGCAAATTCACTTAGTGAAGCGCTTGCTCAGACTGTTTTGAAAACTAAACAGGCAGCTCAATTTTTTCCAAGTGTCACTGCTGTTCAGGAGATGGTTGATAGTGTTGTTGATGTATCACATCTAGCCAAAGATCTTAAAGTAGCTATGATTCATGCAGCACAACAACCCTAAAAATCATTGAATTGGTTAAGGAAGGAAATATGTGTAGAAAGATATTTTTATTAATTTTTTTAAGGTATGAAAATTAATGTTATTTATTGAAACTATCAGGTTATTTTATACATATATTTATATTTTTCCATATTTTACGACAATATAACTTAAAAAGTAGCGGAGATATCAGCTGATACACATCGTAAGTTGTTTTCCGACTTAGCAGTTGGTGTGCACTATGGAAGCCACAATTTTTATCTGAAATCAATGGCACAAAAAAATTACTTTTTTTTTATATAATTACGCTGAATATGAACCTCCATCATAAGCGATATTTTTATTTAAACTATTTTTTTTTTAATAAAAAATGTATGAAAAAATGGTAAAAAAATCACGACTTAATTTCACAGCCCTCTAAAAAATGCAAATTTTTACTTTTTTTTTGGAATTGAGGTTCATATAGAAGATACACATATAAAAAAAAAGTAATTTTTCTGTGCCAGTGATTTCAGATAAAAATTGTGGCTTCCATACTGCACACCAACTGCTAAGTCGGATGACAACCTACGATGTGTATCGGCTGATATCTCCGCTATTTGTTAAGTTATATTGTTGTTTAATACGAAAAAATACTCATAAATATATCTATAAAATAACCTGAAAGTTTGATTAAATAATATTAATTTTTTATACCTTAAAAAAATTAATGAAAATCAGCATGAAAACGGCCTTCTACACGTATTTCCCCCCTTAAATATAAATCGTCCTTGACAGGACTATGGGTACATACAAATAAATTGTACTCTAAAGTCAAACTTTACCTCATCCTATTTTCGATCCACCGGTAGTAATTTTAGTGGCCTAAAAATTAATGGGTAAATTATACTACAGCATACAGTACTGCCAAAGCATATATGCGTAGAATATGAAACTTTAAATAAATGTTTCATTTTATTAAATTTTTAATAACATAACAATATTGTAAAGGCCTTTTGGATAGATTTATCAATTGATTTTTCATTTTTTAAATCAGTGTGCAAGTTAACTAAACTAAAAATTTTAGAATTTTGTCTTTTCAATTTTGTATTTTTAATAATTACAAAAGCCTTTTAACTTTTGTTTTTATAATATACATATATATATATAAATATTTATAATTAAATGAATGAAAAGAAAGAACCAAAAACAAAATTATAACTTGAATATTTTTTTGTGATAAATATGTAAATTTTTTTATAAAAATTTATCTCGCCGAACTTTTTACAATTTATAAGTACGGCAGTGTGCTAAATAAAATACTTACAATTTTCTCAATGTAACAACGATACTTTAATGTCTGCATAATAATTTATAAATGCAGTAGACTGATTTTATAGAACAACAAAAAGCAAAAAGAAAAAAATTATTTATCAAAATCACATTAACCTTCCATAAAACATTTTTTGTAAGTACAGTGTTCTCTTTTTAAGATAATAATATTATAATATAATTATGTCTCAATTTTTCTTTAAATCTCTAAGAGAGAAAAATTATATCTTAGAAAGAGAACAGTGTATTTTTGATTGCTGCTTTTTTTTTTAATTACTTAAACATAAATTTTGTATTATATATAGCGCACAATTATATTAAATTTGTAGGAAAATTATTTGATAGAAAATTATTCATATCATATTCAATTGTTGTGTGCGTTTTGCATACATTTTATATATATATGTAACAATTTTTTTTTAGTGATATTAAAACATGGCAAAAAGTATTTATTTATATTAAATTTAAGGATTTTTATGTTAAAAAATAATTTTAGAGCTACTTAATTAACGATTAGTTTGATATTTGTAAATAGTCATATTTATACATATAATTAAATTTAAGCGGCTTGTAAAAAAATTTGGTTGCTAATATTTATCTTGTACAATAACAAAAACTATGTAAAGTTATACTTACTTTGATAGAGTAGTTTAATTCTTAGGAATGTTTAAAAGTCTTGATATTTTTTCTTTTTTTTTCTTTTTCTTATTAAGGGGGTATTCTGGTCTAGAAGCATGAAATTTCAGGTAATTTTTGAAGTGCCGTAAAAAAAAGGCAATCAATATTTTTAGTATACATTTTTTTATGTTATTTATTAACATTATAAGAATAGAGAAAAAAGTTGAAAATTAAAAAAATTAGCAACTGATGAAGTGGGAGAGCTTCAATAAAATTGGCACGTGACTATACCCACGATTCAAACTCTCCTAGAAATTGGAAAAATAAAATAAAAAAAAGATTATTAATCTAGAGTAATGTCGCTATGGCATGAACTAGGAATCTAGAGTAATGTCGCTATGGTTGGAACTACGGAAAAGTTGAAAAAAAAATTTTTCTCAAAATAGCGACTTCATCAGCTGCTAAGTTTTTGAATTTTCAACTTTTTTTTATTTTTTTTCTGTATTCTTATTGGTGATCGGAAAAAATAAACTTGAAAAAATTTTTAAATTATGAAAAATTCATATTATAATAATAATTTAATAAATCTGAAATAATATGAATTTTTCCTGACTTTAAAATTTATTTAGGTCTATTTTTTCCGGGATTAATTCTTATTATGTTAATAAATAACTTATAAAAAAATGGATGGTAAAAATATTGATTGCCGTTTTTTTACAGTACTTTAAAAATTACCTGAAATTTCATGCTTATAGACCAGAATATTCCCTAAAAAATTATTTTATCAAACTTATATCGAGGATTTACCAAAAAATAAAAATTTAAAAATATTATTTAATAAAGAAAATTTTTTGTCTCCTAAAAACTTGTAAATTTTGTTAGTAAATCCTCGATATTAACTAAATAAAAAGTATTCAAAAAAAAATAAGATAAAAAAATTGTATTAAAATGTGCAATTAGATTATCTAGATAATTAGGTAGAATATTGGTTAAAATAAACAAAAAGTCTTGCTGTATATTTAACTAAGCTTCTCTAATTCAATAAATATTATACAATATAATATAATAAAAAAAGGGTTTATTAAGAGAAAAATAAATGAAAATGATAAAATAAATTTACCGATTGAATTAATTTTCTTTAATGCATAAAAGTTAATTTTGACCACAATTAAATAAACAATAATTGATCAATGTTTCTTGAAGTGTTCACAATATTTTATTCAAAGAAATGACTTTCATTGTTTACCATAATAGTAATAGTAATGTATGACCATGAGTTGTTTAATTATTAAAAAAAAAAAAAAAAACAGTGTTAATGTTCACAGCACCGTTGTGTATGAGTGTGTGCTGCATTAGCTTCTTTAATCATGTTTTCTTTAGCAATATGTTTTTCTAGATGAAAACTACTGAGATCACGTTTCATTGCATAGGCGTCCTCACCATCAGCATAATATTTAGGTTCTATCTCAGAGACTTCGAATTGCAGACTACTGGTGTAAAGATTTAAAGCAGCTCTATTGCTGCGTCTTACGTGTAATGACACGTAGTTAGCTTCAAAACACTCAACCATTGCCCTTGAAGCTTGATTCATTAGCTTCTGTGCAATTCCAAGTCTTCGGTGGGATCTTTTAACAGCGAGGCTTGTGATATGTCCATGAGGATTATCTTCACAATCTTCTTCCATTTTTGCCAGTACGTAACCAACTATACGACCTTTCTCATCCTCTGCTACGTAACTCAACTGTGGCCAAGATAATGCGTGATACAGGTAATACTTCATCTGATAATTCTCAGGCAGACATTGAAGATTGCAGTGTTGAATGTTGAGAAGATCATTTGTATTTGCACAGCGTATGTTAATTGCCATTTTTTTTTTTTTTTTGTTATTATTATTATTTATTTTTATAGACTTATTTCAATCAATGTTTACGTTAATTAAAATATAAGATTAGATTTTATAGTTATTAGTTGCCAATATCCAAAATATGTATTTATAATTGATAAATTAATTTATCAATTAAATTTAGATTTTTTTATATATTTAAATTCAATTAATCTCGTCTAAGTTTCTTCATACGGGATCTGCCACTTTTTAAATCATTTACTGATGATGACTCGCTCATACCACCTAGGAGTTCACGTACAAATCGAAATCGTGAGAGGAAGAATTTCCAAACAAGATACCAGCCTGTTGAAAGAAATTAAGATGATTGTTAGTTAAGAAATTTATATTAAGTTAGCCGACGTTTTTAATTTTTTAATAATTGAATTAGAACAAAAGAATATTTTTTAAAAATTGCACTTACAGTTTTTATTTTATTTATTTATTGAATTTAAATACCGAGGCATAAAGCCAGAGAGCAAGAAGTAAATACATAGAATTTTTTTTCACACAAATAATGTAATTAAAAACTAGCAATCTTGCAGTCACTATGTGACTGCTGTAAATTGTGAACTAAAAATAAAGTTTTGCTTTATTAAATAATGACTTTTGTTAAATTGCACTGTACTTTTTTAACTATTGAAGTTTTTAAAAATATAAGCTCATCCTGATGTTACACTCATCAAGAGCTTTCATTTGAGTACCCGCATGCATTTTTGATATATTTTTCATACATACATATATATATAATATATAAATATATAAAATATATGAAAAATTAATGTGGGTATTCAAATCAAAGGTCTTAATGAGTGTAACATCGGGATGAGCTTATATCTTTAAAAATATCAATAATAATTATTGATATTTTCTGAATTATTAAGAAATTATATTGTATTTTGGCAACTTATGATATTTTTAAAGATATAAGCTCATTCTGATGTTACACTCATCAAGAGCTTTCATTTGAGTACCCGCATGCATTTTTGATATATTTGTCATATATACATATATATATATATATAATATATAAATATATAAAATATATGAAAAATTGATGTGGGTACTCAAATGAAAGGTCTCGATGAGTGTAACATCGGGATGAGCTTATATCTTTAAAAATGTCGATAGTTGAGAAAGTACAGTGCAATTTAATATAATTAAGAAATTACCTTGTATCTTATGAACTATTAACATTATTGAAGAAATAAGCTCATCCTGATGTTACACTCATCAAGAGCTTTCATTTAAGTACCTACATGCATTTTTGATATATTTTTTATATATACATATATATATAAATATATAAAATATATGAAAAATTGATGTGGGTATTCAAATGAAAGGTCTTAATGAGTGTAACATCGAAATGAGCTTATATCTTTAAAAATGTCAATAGATCACGAGATACAAGGTCATTTCTTAATTATGTGTCTAGAAATAGAGTATTTTTGAATGCAGCCTAAATACTTATTATAAATTGACTATTGGCAAGAATGATATGAAACCATGAAAAGGCACAACTCCAAGTCAAGATTTTTCCAACGATAGCAAATTTAACCATAAAAACCCTTTTTTATCATATACACTGGCCACAAAATTTTGCCTATTCTCTTAATATTATAGATTAGAAGTATAGCTCAAGTATAAAAATTTTGTATTGTCCATAAATAATATAATTAAAATTTGAAGTATAGCTTGAGTAAATAAAAAATTTAGTATATTCAGAAAGAGTAGCATGGTTACAATTTGAAATTTCTTAACACATACATTTTTTTTATATTTTTGTAATCATTTTTTCAATGAAAAAAAAATCTTAAAAATTTTTAAATGACGGCTAACTTAATTTTCATAAAAAATTTAATAAATTGTTAAAAAAAAATTAATAATAAACAGAGGTTAAACATTGGAGCATGCATAAAATTAATTATTTAGTTTAATACGAAAAAATAATAAATATACGTCGTACTAGTATAAAAGTTGGATTTGTTGATTCTCACCCAACAACACGAGGACAAAAACAATTATCAAACTGGAGATTACAGAAAATGCAGCCAGCAAAAATTCATGCATTATGACAAGAATTATTATTACACTGTTAATATGGCAATTACAGTAGTGTTTAATTTTATTATTGCTGACTCCAATATGCGTAGCATAACCTTGCTCCTTTCTTGTATATGTCAAGTTTTTTATTCAAATTATTACAACTTTAAGACTTTATGTAACCAAAAAAATAATAACAATTTTTTTTTTATTTTCGTGTCTTGGTAATAGAACTTATCAAGTCAGACCACGCCATTTTTAGTTCCGTAATCTCATAATAATATATGAGTCTAGTTTTCTATCTAGTATAATACAGTTAGATAGAACGTTAGGTTATGTTTCCGTTCATTTACAATAAATAAACACTTTTGTTATTTTAACTTTGCAACTAAAAAAATATTACTGTTTTTATTAATAAAAAGTACTTACTAAAATTTCAATTGGATATTTTTAATTAATATAACAATTCTAATTTTAAAAATACTTTTCTTATATTTCAATGACAACACTCGTGCGCGAATGATTTTTTTATGGGACTAACGTAGTACCGGAAATATTTCTCATAGCGACACTTTTTTTTTATCTTATTTTAAAAAAGTGATTTTAAATTTATAATACAGTTTTTATTATTTTCATTTAATAAATATTATTTTTACATTAAAAAATTAAATAATTTATAATGAAAATTAAGTTAGCCGACATTTAAAAATTTTTAGAACTTTTTTCTATTAAAAAAATTATTGCAAATGATAAAAAAACAATTTTCATTTGTAAAAAAACTTGAAAAAACTCTTTAAAGTCTAAATTTTTAACAAATATTTTTTAGTTCTAATTTAATAATTTAAAAAAAAATTAAAAATGTCGACTAACTTTAGTATTATTAATTAATATAGTTTAGTAAATTATTTTAAGATTAATTTAATTTTTTTGTAATAATTGCCTAGTAACAAATGTAAGTTATTTTAATTTTTATTTTGACTTAAAAATATAAAAGATAGAAAAAAATTATGACATTAAAATTAGCAGTCACTAAATAATTTTTTAATTTTTTTTTGCCAAATTTTTTCTGCCAAATTAATTTTTATAAAAAATTAATCAAAGCTTATTTTTATAAAAGTAACTTTTTTACTATTTATTTTTATTTCAGAAATTTCATTCAGAATTTCAATTAAAGATTTTTATAAATTTTTTCTTTAATTTATCACAATTATCTACAATCATATAAATTTTACAAACTTGTTAATAGAAAATAACAAAATAAAATTCACCCAACAATAATTTAAGGTCCTAAAATTAACTATTGGTTTCATTTTAATACAATTTATCAATTTAAGACCGATAGTATATTTTTAAATTGCCAATAAAAAAAATAAGCCAATTTTATGAAAAAAAAAAAAAAAAAAAAAAAAAAAAATTTTTACTTTATATAATTTTTTAATTAAACTGTAAGTTTTTGTTTTTTTTAACAAATTTTGATTCTATTCAACCATTTTATTTAAAATTTATCTGTTTATTTTTTACAATACTAAAGTTAGCCGACGTATTTAATTTTTTGATTTTTTTTCATTAATTAAATTAGAACAAAAAAATATTCATTAAAAATTGCACTTACAGTTTTTCAAGTTTTCTACAAATGAAATTTTTTTTTTATTTTTTTTGTAATGATTTTTTAAAAAAAAAAATTCTAAAAATTTTCAGATGTCGGCTCATTTAATTTTCATATATTTTTTCTAAACTTCTCATAAATGATTATTGCCTAGCTACCGTAGGATTTAAAATTAATAAATAAATATCAACAGTATTTATCACATTAGTTTTTATTCAAAAATTATTACACGATAAAAGCAATTTCCATGGTAAATAACTAATTCTACATATTTTGTATCTTAAACTTGATAAAATATTAAATGATCAACAGATAAATCTATTACGCAAAATAATAGTATCACTTGTATCCTATTTCCAATAGTAGGTGTATGTACATACTTTATTTTTAATTAAGTATTCTTGAATTTACTTTCAATGTAAATTTATTTAAAAATCCTTGTTTCTAATAGTAAGTAATAAAAATAATACATTATGTTATTATTTATTTTTTTTTTTTGCACTTAACAACTAAAGGATTCTCTCTTATATTAATAATAATAATAATAATAATCTTGTCTTCCAGAATTTACGGAATTGAACGTGGTTGCACATCTGAAAATATAATCAGAAAAAAATAAGTAAAGATTTTAATATAATTTTTTAATTGTATAATTTGATTTTTAATTGTACTTACAGTGAGGACGACTGGCATCCTCCTGTTCATCAGATTGAGGCATTACTTGAGCCTGCATTGGTTGATGTTGTTCTTTATTATCTTCTTGCTCTCCAGAATTACCCATCACACGAGCACTTACTTCCATAGGTATTTGGAATGTATCCATGGATCTCATAGGCATCGAGAAATGTGATCTGGGGAACAAACGTTCTTCGATTTGATGAATCAAGCTGCTTTCAGGAAGTACAACAATTTTCTTTTTATCTTCATCGTCTTTGCTTTCTTCTTGGTTCTCAGAATCAGCGATAAGTTTTGTAGATTCTTGTGAGCCTTCAACGTTTTCCTGACGGTGAGCTTCCATATTTTCAGGCTCCATCAGATTTCTCATTTCAATAGTACGGATGGGTCCATCGAAATGAATTGGCCGTGCATTCATGGGGAAAGGTTTGAACTCTTGGACTTGCTAAAATTACAAAATATTACAAAATTATAATCTATGTATTTAATAGACTTTAAATACTATAATTGAATTATCTATATTATTAAAAGGATAAGAAAAATTTTGTATCCAGGATAGTCATATGATAAAATCGGTTTTTTTAGTGAAATTAAGTGTCATTGCAAAGGTCTTGATTTGAATTTGTGCCTTTTCAATGTTTCATATCATTCTCTCTATCTCTAGATATTTAATTAAAAAATGACCTTGTATCTTGTGAACTATTTCCATTTTTAAAGATATAAGCTCATCCCGATGTTACACTCATCGAGACCTTTCATTTGAGTACCCACATCAATTTTTCATATATTTATATATATTGTATATATGTATATATGAAAAATATATCAAAATGCATGTGGGTACTCAAATAAGAGCTCTTGATGAGTGTGACATCAAGATGAGCTTATATCTTTAAAAACGTCAATAGTTAAAAAAGTACAGAGCAATTTAACATAATTAAGAAATGACCTTGTATTTTGAGAACTATTGACTTTTTTTAAAGGTATAAGCTCACCCTGACATTACACTCATCGAGACCTTTCATTTGAATATCCACATCAATTTTTCATATATTTATGCATATTATATATATGTATATATGAAAAATATATCAAAATGTATGTGGGTACTCAGATGAAAGCTCTTAATGAGCGTAGCATCAGGATGAGCTTATATCTTTAAAAATATCAATAATTAAGAAATGACCCTGTATTTGTCAAGTACTGACATTTTTATAGATATAAGCTTGATGTTACACTCATCAAGACCTTTCATTTGAGTACCCACATCAATTTTTCATATATTTATATATATTATATATATATGTATATATGAAAAATATATCAAAAATGCATGTGGGTACTCAAATGAAAGCTCTTAATGAATGTAACATCGAGATGAGCTTATATCTCCAAAAACGTTAATATTTAAGAAACTACAGCGCAATTTAAGAAAATTTATTATTTAATAAATCAAAATTTTATTTATTTATAGTTCACAAGTCACGGAAGTCACATTGTGACTTTTAGGTTGCTAGTTACCTCTTGTCGAGATCTGTCTTCTTGTTCTGGTTTCATTTCTTCATCAATGTGTTGAATAATGCTTTTAATTTTAAGTGGTACTTGTTGAATGAATCTGATGATGTCAATCGGTAAGCCGGGGAAAGGAAAGTTTGGTTTATCTTGAGCTTCTTGAGGTTGTGCAGGCTTTTGTTCAAGCTGTTGTTGGATGATATGAACTTGTGGAATAATTCTGGGTTCACGTTGATTTAATTCTGGGGCGTTGGGTGCTGATGGGGGTGGTGGAGGTGGCATCATTCCTTGAGTTTGTTGCTCTTGGGAGTATACTGGCTCAGTTGGTTCTTGAGCGAACATTGGGTGTTGTGGTTGTGGAGGTTGTTGTTGTTGTTGAGGCTGTGGTTGGTGTTGTTCCATTTGGTTCATTGGTGGTCTCATTCCACGAATAACTTCAATTGGCAGAGTGCGAATTTCAATTGGGAAAGGACGTAATTCCATTTGTTGGTGATTCATTTGTGGTGGCATTCGCGGTGAACCAAAACCCATCATCTGGGCAATATTTTTTATGTCTGGTATACTGATACCTTGCTCCAATTGATTTATTCTTCGTGCATTGACGAATGGTGGAGTTTGTACATCAGGTGCGGAGAATTGGTTTTGAACTTGGTAACGGTGGTAATCTTGTTCATGAGGTTGCATCGGGATTTGGATGTTACCAAGCGGAACAATTATTGGTGTACGTAGATCCTGTTCTTGTTGCCTATGCAATAAAAAATTATTTAAAAAAAGTTTTTAAACTACAGAGATAATTACATTGATAAAAGGATTTATTTCTATCAAAAAATATTTTTTAATAGTTAACAAATCATTTATTAGAGACCACTTATTTAGTATTAAATTAAACAAATATTTCTTAGTAATTAAAATAATTTTTTTTTTGTATTTAATAAATTTGATATCCTTTTATTAAATATTAATAAATCTTTTTAAATACTAAGAAATATTTATTAAGGACTAAAAAGTGTTCTCTAATAAATGATTTTTTAAAATCCTTCCATCAGTGTAATAAGATAAATTTTTTTTATTTACTCTTGACGACGTGGTTCTCCGGATTCACAGAGAATTACTACACGTTCACCACTGAGACGTTGAGGACGTTGGTAATCATTGTTGTTGTTGTTGTCAACTTGATTGTTTCCATCGGTAAATCCATCAGATCTGCGGCGTTCAACTACACATGAGACGAGACCACGGGATTGTTGCATAAGGGTCTAGAAATTAAATAAATAAATGAATAATACATAAATAAATGTTATAAAGAAAAAAATTTCAGAATTAAAAAGTCAATTTCATGAAATTTACTACAATAATCCTCTTTTATGAGTAGAAAGATTTAATAGTCTGTAAAATTTATCATAAAATATTGAATGTAGCTAATATTGTGAAATTAAATAAATAAGTTTTTTTTTAGCTTGAATACTGTTAAAATAAAAGAATTAGTAGATTTTTTTGTTTTAAAACTATACAAGAAAAAAAAATAGCAATATCGTTGTTTTCTTTTAAGAAATTAAAAATAACAAAAATTTGATTAATTTAACTTTTTTTTTTTTAATTTGATCAACATAATTGCTTAGATGTTATTTAAATAAATGGTAAATATTTATAAGTGGGGTCAACCATTTTAATTTTTATTTTTTTGAACGAAATTTTTGTTTGATATACATAAAAAAATGAACAATCTAAAAAAAAAAATTGATTATCACAATTTTAACAAATTTTTGAAAAAATAGAGATATTTTACTTTTTCTTTTTAATTTATTTGTTTTTTTATGTAACTTTTCAAAATAAATATATCAAAAAAAGATAAAATAGAAATTTTATTTAAAAACATGACAGCCAAAATTTTTTCCAATTTTTGAAGGCAAAAAAGCTATCAAAATTTTTATTTTGTTCTTTTACATTTTTTATTATAAATGCATTTTAAAAACAAGCAGAATTTTAAAAAAATTTTTAAATGTTAATTTTTCACTTAGATATGGGCAAAAATGGCGTTTACTCCACTTGTAAATAATTACCAAATAAATTTACAACAGTAATGATAAAAATCTTATAAAAATTCAAGTTTGTGGATAAATAAAATTAATTAATTTTAAAATAAAATTTCTTTTTTTTTTCTACTATTTCTCAAAATGCAAGTACATTAAAATATTATTATTTTTACTTTTTCTTTTTTTTTTTTTTACAAATATCGACTAATTCTAATTATCAAATTGTCTAACTCCATTTTAGAGAATCTTATATTTGTACGAAAAAAAACAATTAGTTCAAAATTTATTATCACTTCAAAAAATCATTTAATATAATTAATATCTAATAAAGATATAATATTTAGGTTTGAATCATTCAAATAATTTATAATTGGATTATTGCTACATCAAAATGTTAAAAAATCACCCTCTAAAAAATGAGGAATTAGACAAATTGCTAATTAGACCGTCGATAGATAATAAGTTTGTAACGGGC